TGTATGTTAGTGATTTGAGTTTTCTCTCTCTTGTTTAGCATGTTGTTTTGTTTTATTGTTTTTTGTTTCAGTTTCATTGATTTCATCTCTGCTTTTAATTATTTCATGTCTTCTGCTGCTTTTGGTGTTGATTTGTTCTTTTTCTAGGGCTTTGAGATGTAGTGTTAAGTCATTTATTTGTTGACTTTTTCTTCTTTTAATGAACTCCATGCAATGAACTTTCCCATTAGAACTGGTTTCTTAGTGTCGCAGAGATTTTGATATGTTGTATTGTGTTCTCATTAACCTCTAAAATTCGTTTAATCTCCTCCTTGATGTCTTCTGTAACCCATTGTTCATTCAGTAGCACATTATTTAGTCTCCAGGTGTTGGAGTGGATTTTATTTCTTATTTTATCATTGATTTCTAATTTCATTCCATTATGATCTAATGCAGAGTAGTATCTCTATTTTTTTTTATATTTGCTAAGAGTTGCTTTATGGCATAGTATATGGTCTATTTTAGAGAAGGAATCCACCTGCTGCTGAGAAGAAAGTACATTCTCTCATTGAAGGTTGGAATATTCTATATATGTGAGTTAAGTCTAAATTATTGATTGTATTATTGAGTTCTGTAGTTTCTTTGTTCAGCTTTTGTTTGAAAGATCTATCTAGTGATGAAAGAGGTATGTTAAAGTCACCCAAAATTATTGCATTGTGGTCTATTTGACTCTTGAACTTGAGAAGAGTTTGTTTGATGAATGTAGAGTCTCCATTGTTTGAGGCATATATATTTATAATTGTTAAGTCTTGTTGGTGTATGGTTTTCTTTAACAGTATGTAGTGTCCTTCTTTATTCCTTTTGATTGACTTTAGCTTGAAGTCTACTTTATTTGATATAAGGATGGAAACCCCTTCTTGTTTCTGCAGTCCATGTGAGTGGTATGATTTTCCCAACCCTTCACCTTCAGTCTTTTTCTGAGACAAGGCTCTTGGACACAAGAGCATATTGTTGGGTCTTTTTTTTTTATCCAATCTGCCAGTCTATGTCTTTTGGTTGTTGAATTTAGGCCAGTAACATTCAGTGTTATTATTGAGACATGATTTGTATTCCCAGCCATTTTTGTTTATTTTTGGTATTTAATGTCACTTGTGGTTTCTCCTCTGATTAGATTTTCCTTTACTGTAATCCCTCCCTCTGCTAATTTTCATCATTGTTTTTAATTTCCTCTTCTTGGAATATTTTGCTGAGGATGTTCTGTAGTGCAGGTTTTCTAGTTGTAAATTCTTTTGTGTATCATGGAAGGTTTTTATTTTATCATCAAATCTAAAGCTTAGGTTGCTGGATATAGGATTCTTGGTTGGCATCCATTTTCTTTCAGAGCTTGGTATATGTTGTACAATCTCCTGGCTTTGGGGGTCTGGGTTGAAAAATCTGAGATATGGGTTGGTCTCCCCCTATCTGTGATCTGATTCCCCTCTCTTGCAGCTTTTAAGATTCTATCCTTATTCTGTATGCTAGGCATTTTTATTATAATATGCCTTGGTGTAGAACTGTTGTAATTTTGTACATTTGGTGTCCTGTAACCTCTTCTATTTGGTTTTCCAATTTGTTCTTCATGATTGGGAAATTTTCTGATATTATCTCATTGTAGAGATTGTGCATTCCTTTGGCTTGAAACTCTGTGCCTTCCTTTATCCCAATGACTCTTAGATTTGGCCTTTTGATGCTGTCCCATAATTCTTAGATATTCTATTCATGGTTTCTAACTTTCTTCACTGTGTGATCAATTTTATTTTCCAGATTGTATACTTTGTCTTCATTATCTGATGTTTCTTCCAAGTGATCTAGTCTGTTGGTTATGCTTTCTATTGAGTTTTTTGATTTATTGTATCCTTCATTGGAAGGATTTCTGTCTTTTTTTTTTTTCCCCAGAGTGTCTCTCTCTCTCTCTCTCTCTCTCTCTCTCGGACTAATCTTTTGCTACTTGTATTTGCTCTTATCTCATTGTTGGAAGGATCAATTTTTGCTTGTATTTGCTAATTTAGGTCATTCTTTAATTCAAAGATTATTTTATTTATTTATTTTTTGAGAGAGAGAGAGAGAGAGAGAATTTTAATATTTATTTTTTATTTTTCGGCAGACACAACATCTTTCTTTGTATGTGGTGCTGAGGATCAAATCCGGGCCGCACGCATGCCAGGTGAGCGCGCAACCGCTTGAGCCACATCCCCAGCCCAAGATTATTTTAATTATGAATCTCTGAACTGCTTCTCTGACATTTCATCAACTTCACTGATATTATGGGTTCTGATATTACAGTGTCCTGGTTTGTTTGAGGGCACTTTCCTCCCTTGTTTTAATTTTATGTTGTCTATGTGTCTGCCTTTCTTGCAGTGTGGATCCGAGATGTTACAGTTTCTTTCCTATATTTTTGTGGTACCTGTGCAGAATGTGTTCACCTCACCTTGATGTTGGGCTTCCAGACCCTGCTGGTGTCCCTCAATAAATGCTACTACATCCTGGATCTGGGTCCTGCTTAAGTTGGAATGGGTGGGTCTGGGCCGCTGGGCTTGACCTCCTGTGGTAGTCTGCTGGTTGGAAGGGGAAGTCCTGCACCAAAGGCTAGACTTTGGTGGTGTCTGACCTGCTTGTGGAGGAGTGAATCAGGACCACTGAGAGCAGGGATCCCGGGTAGGTTGGAGTGGGTGGATCTGGGCAGATGGGATTACAGGTGGCTTATAGTACACTTTAATGTTCTAATATGTAAAAATATATCACAACTTGAAAAGTTTAGTAATTATCTGTGTATAATTGGTTTTCTTTGGAATCATATGTATATATATATATCTATATTGTCTTTAAAAGCATTCTGAAAATCAGGATAGCTTCCGCAGACGGCTAAAGAGATCCATGTCAGTGCTCCTGTCAGTGGTCAGGAGCTGGGATTAACTACGTGATAAGCACGAGTTGGTGGGTCAGGGTAGAGCTCAGTGGTAGAGCACTTGCCTAGCATGTGTGAGGCACTGGGTTTGATTCTTAGCACCACATATAAATATGTAAAATAAAGGTCCATTGACAACTTAAAAAAGAAAAAAGTTAAGAACCCTAGACAAAGCTGCTCTGTTAGTGAAGTTTGATTTCAGTTTTGCTTTATGGTGTTATGGCTTGAAACTAGGGCCTTGTGTGTATGCTAGGGGAGCACTACAGATTTAGTTTTTAAACTACAGACTATTGAGAATCATGAGTAGTGTGACTGCAGTGGCCTAATATAAGGAGGCTTAATGGTCAACAGTTGGAGAGAACTGCTGTTGCTAAGTACTTGTCCATCTGCTCTTTTTTAAATTTTTAAAAATTTATTCTGATTTGTTATACATGATGGCAGAATGCAATTCATTTTATATTACGCATGTAGAACACAATTTTTCAAGACACTGGTTATACACAAAGTATTTTCACACCATTCATGTCTTATATATGTACTTAGGGTAATGATGTCTAACTCATTCCACCATCATTCCTATCCCTCTTGCTCCCTCCTCTCTTTCCCCCTCCCTCCCCTTATATCCATCTACTTTTGTCATGTGTCTACAACAAAATAGTCCTGAATGGCAATCATATTAGCTTCTGGTTCTTACCCACAACTCTCCCCCTTCCACTAGCTGTTTTAGGATACTTTTGCTACGTTTAGAAATCCTCATACTGAAGCCCAGCTGCTAATATTGAAACTTCCAAGAATGTACAATTCGTTACCATGCTTATTTGTGTTGATCTAAATCATAGGACATCAAAATCTTCCAGACATCAGCTGTTTTAGTGAGTTGCCATGTTATTGGGGAACACTCTAGATAAAGAAACAACATCCTTGACAGCTTCCCAGTCTGAATTGTGTTGGACAGCAGGAATTCTGTTTGATTCTGCTGAAATCTAATAAATAAATTTAGATTATTTGAGCTAAATGATTTTTGTGTCATAGTGGACCACAGATTGTAAAGACATACCGTTAGATACATGTAACACCAAATGTAATTGAATAAATATGGCTTTTAAGAAACATTATACTTAGATATAAGTTGATGGAAAGGCAGAGGGAAAACCTTCATAAAAAACCCTAATATCCAATTATATGAGGACAACTTTCTGTTTGAATCCTAAGGTCTTGCATATTTAAGATAAGTAATTTATGAGGATATGCACCAGGAACTATATGGCTCAGTTAAAAATGAAGAAGTTTCAAATACAGTGTGGTGAAAATGGTGAAGTCATTTTTATTTTCAGTGCTTTGACAAAATACCCCATAAAATTCAAAACTTCTACCATTATACAAAAATAGGTGTCTACAAGTGATATCTTCTGTCTTCATCACCAGTAGCAAATATATTAGGCAGAAACATGTAATTTCAGTAGCCTTAAATGAAAAGTGCAGGACACTGCAAGCTACACATTCAGCAGTATCATATCGGCAAAAGTTTAATCTTTTCACCCATTTGATAAATACACAAGGTTTATAATTTAATCATTTAAATTAACATTCTGCAAATATACATGTAATTTAGTGATCACTGTGCATGAATACATACACAATGCTTGTATGTACAAATTCCAGTTTGTTTTCATGTGCAAGAGATCTGATACAATCATAAGCTGTGTTTGTTTTGGTCCCATTAAATATTCACAATATAAAAGCACAAAAGAATCTTCGATTTACAAAAGAGAATTTGTTTAAAATCACTTCAACTTTTGATGTTTTTAAAGTATTATCTTCTCATACCACTATGAAATGTAGTAGTTGAAGCTGTAAGAGAAAAACAAGACATTTTGCATGATTTTAAATTAGATTGTTCTATATAAATTAGCTGGTATAGATAACAAAAAGATTACTCTTAACTCTCCATCAGAAAAAATGCCCTTTGTTCCTTAAACATCTTATTCATAGTTCAACTGATTTTTAAAGAGATTTCAACTATATTTACAAGTCATCAAGAGTGGTTCTAAAGCAAGGAAGCGAGACTTATGCTAATATAAAATGTTCTAAAGGTTGAAGTTCTATATATTTTTAGTATATCCTAAAAAATATTTTGGTCTTCAGATTCTGGGTCTTGTGAAATTTGGATGCTTAAAACAAAACAAACCTTTAACCAACAAACAGACTTCAACTATAATAATGAGAGTTTCCTAGTACTACAAGTTGCTTGTGTTAAACAGTGAATTTTTTGAATGAATGAAGAGATAACTACTAACTCAAAATAATCTGATATTAGTCCAGTTTGTGGGACTAGTAGGAAAAGAGAATCATTAATAAAAGTTTAAAAAAAAACTGTAAAAGTAGACTGAATACAATCAGTTAAACTAAAATGATTCAAAATCTCTGGATCAGAAGTGAACTAAAGGAAGACAGGGAAAAGAAGTTTTCTCATAATGAATAGAGAATCCACTTCTGTTATCAAGTATGATATTGATATTTTTGAGGAAAGAAAAGTAAAAGATCATTGTTAGGATTTTTTTTTGGATCACTCTTAAAAGCACCATGCAGTAGTAGGGATAATGGTTGTACTAAGTGCTCAATCCTCTTCCTCACCAGTATCTGTAGGCCTCACCACTTTCTACCATGCATTACCTCAGAGCACCTTCCCACATTAGTCTTCAATCATGTGTTTTCTATGAGCAATCTACTGAATGAAGAGATAGTAGGGGAATTATTTGGGGGTGGGCAGGATTTGAGGTGATAAATCATGTCTTGAATACTCTAAAGTTAGTTGTGCTGCTGGTTACACAGTTTAAGCTTTCAAAATGAGGAGAGCTGTGGGTCTAGCACTATGGCACTACCAATAAGTGGTTAAACTTAAGCACCTGTCTGTACAGTTCCAAGTCTTCTTTGTAGTGCCTCTAGCCGAGTGATATAATCTGCCAGGGCTCTATAGGATCATAATTCTGAAGGTGAGAGCACGCTGTGGAACCAGGATTTAAATCAGCTAGGGTGCCTGGGGACCTAAGGATTAAAAGCAATGTACATGAACCAAATTACCCAGAAACAATGCAATCACATTACACACCTGCCTCCTCCCCCACCCCCGAAAGGCAGGCCACGTACATATTATATGATCTATATGCCCCATGCTTCTAAGTTTGGGATGGGAAAGAAATTGGTCTTCAATAAATTCAAAGAAGCTAGGGCTTCATGAAAATGCCAAGTATAAAACCTGTCAGTTTGTCAGTAAGTGTTGGATATGTAAAAATGCATCTGTCATGCAGACTAACATTTTCTCTAACGGCCAGGGACTTATCAATTTTAATCAACACTTTTTCCAATGTCTAACTCTTGCATATAGTAAGCAACATTTGATCAGCTCTGTTTCCTTTAACCTTAGAAACCATTTACAAATTTAAAAACTAGCTTTGATTCTGGGCCATAGGTTAAACAAATTACAACTAAACATGTCCATCTGCCAGAGTCCTATCAGTGTCCATCTTTCTCTGTTAAATATTAATACATTTAATTCTTACCTATTTTGAAACGGTAAAAGGCACCTAGGAGAATCCAGATCTGATCTTGAGCGGTATGTTGTATGTCTTGGTTCTCCATCTAGCTCTAGTTCACCAGAAGAATGATAAAATGGGTCAGTCTTTTCAGCACCTTAATGTAATGCAAGATGTTAAGAAACAAAGCAAAACACAACAAAAACTAAAAACCAAGCCCTTGAACATTTCTACAAAACAGTATTATACCATGTTTATACCATGTGAATATAGTGTATTATACCATGCTGTCTTACTTAAAAGACCTCAATCTTAGGGTTTCTGAATGTATTATCATTTGGGGGAAAAGATAATGTGGATAAGAAAACATTAGACTAATGTAACCAGATCCTTTATGACTCCACTCTCCTTTTCTAGGAAAAAAAATTGCAATCAAGATTTGCTAATTTTTGGTATGACACAGATAAAAATTTCTCAGTGCAAGCATTTATATTTCAAAATACTTTCATGGAAATTTCCCTTTTCTCTGCTGCTAAACTTGGTAGAATATCTCCAGGTAGATTCTCTGTATTCTGTGCTCTCCCGCTTTTGACCTCATCCTTATGTCCCAAATGTTCAAGCCCTAATGTTCTTTCTACTTCATTCTAGGTGTAGAGAGAAGGAATTTTAACTGTTCTTATTTTTATACAATGTAGTAGTAAACTCAAATGATTTGAGTATTATTAGATCATGAAAACTTCAAACCATAACCGTTTTACATGACTAATAGCTATTCTCTCTTGAACCGAGAGCCTTAAGTGCCCCTACTGGGTAATCTGGGACAAATACCATGTGTTTTCCAGTGCTAAATTTTTCATCTGTAAAGTGAGAATAATAGTAATTGTGATTACATCAAATTGGCAGAATATATGAAAAAAGCAGGGCTTAGTGTAGACCAGTGCTCCATAAAAATCAGCAATTCTTACTCTCTTTAAAACAATGAAGTCCCTAACCTTGTTAGTTATAAGCTCCTTTATCTTTGGAAAACACTGGCTCCAGAATTTGCTATTTGGAAGATATTACATTTTCAGTAATTTTAGAGGGCTGTAAATGTAGAAAAATGCTATTTTGACTTTACCTGGATTCAGTTCAAAGCCATCCCTGTTAACATTGGTGGAACCAGAATCTGTGACTTGCTGCCACCGTTGAACCAAAATTTTCATTCTAAAAAAAAGATTCCAAGATAAGACATCACAGCATATCTATAAAGATCATAAAATACACCTTCTACAAAAATTATTTAAATATGAACACAGAATAAGATTTCTACATAATCACAATTTCCTAATCCAAAACTATGTACATGTGCCTGGGTTGATGGCAAAATTAACTGGAACAGAAGAACACCGTTGTAAGCTCCCCTCACTTCATTTCCAAGGGGAAGCAGAGGTCTTTGGTGTTACCAGAATCAGGTTCTAGCTTTACGGATTAATGAGACAGGAAGAAATGGAGGGCAAAACTACACAGAAGGAAAGGAGCCGCAGGAAACAGAACAGTGGATGAAAGGCAGATGAGAGGAAAAAAGAATAGAAGGACCCATAAGAGGGAGCTGGAGGATGGGTGAGGCCATGTGACCAGGAACAAAAAACAATGCTGGCTTTAAATGAATGGGGGCATTAATGTCATCATATAGCTGCATTAGGTTTGCTGCATGGCCCATCTTGGCTTAGAGAGCTTTCTGGAGTGCCAGGGCTCTGTCAGGATCATAATTCTGAAGGTGAGAGCACGCTGTGGAACCAGTCTGTTTCAAGACTCAATTTTAAGAGAGTCAGAATGTAAGTCTCCCCAAATTCCTCTAATCAAAATGACTGGCTAACTCCTGAGACTTCACATGAGTGTCCCCCAAGTTCTGTGCATATGGCCCTTCCCCAACAGAAAGTGAGCTGTCTTTGGATTTTAGGCAGGTATTACATCTTTTTCATCAATGTATCTGCCAGTGCTTATCCTTTGTTTGCCAGACACAAGGTGATGTTGGGAATGAGAAGTGGGAAAGGAGAAACTGGAGTGTGAGACTACAATAAGGAGAAGAGGCAGGCATGGTGGAAGACAAACAGGTTAGACCTGAGCTGCTTTTAGAGAGCCAGCATGGGTGCAATAGAGAGACCAGGCTAATTGTGCCTACTGGGTTTATAACCCCTCCTTGTCCCCTTTTTCTCATTTGTGAACTGACATTTGGAACTAAGGAAACTCAAGTTTCCAGTTTAAAAACACAGAAACAAAAGCAAAACTCATATTTTTCAGAAGAAAAAAAAAAAAAAGCAAAATCCTTTGAAGAAGCATCAAATGTGACCTGACAAGAACTACTTTAAGAAACAAAATTCCTTTGGGACTCTGCTGAGTTTCAGAGAAATAAAAAGGAGGGTACACATGGAGAAGCCTAAGTGTCTGAGTGATCTTTTAAAAATTTATTTTATTTTTTTAGTTGTAGATGGACACAAACCTTTATTTTTATGTGGTGCTGGGGATCAAACCCAGTGCCTCACACATGCTAGCCAAGCGCCCTACCACTGAGCCTCAGCCCCAGCCCCTGATTATCTTATCTACTAGTTAGATTAGAGGACAGTAGTGGTTCAGGACTACAAGGTAGTTTCAACCACATACGGAATGAATGCCAAAGTTCCTAGCTTGGAACTACTAGGAAAAGAGTGTCAAAAGCACTAGCAGAATCCCTGAAGGCCAACCTTGGACCTGAATGCAGAGGTAGACCAGGGCTTTCCAGAGCTGGGTACAAAAACAGGTTATTTTAGTAGGAAAGGAAGACAGATGTGTGCCAGCCTAAGGTGTGATTTTTCAAAAAAAACTTTTCCTTTTTATGATATCTCTTATGTCTATGTATGTATAAGCTAGTTCATAGGTCTATTCAAATTAAAAAATGACAATTGGACTGGATGTGCCAGCTTGAGTCACCAGCTGCATGTACCTAAGAAGGCCCTTTCCAAAGGGTATATTTACACAGTACAGAATAAAGAATCCCTGCTAAAAGGATGAAAACCCAGAGAGAAAGTTATATTTTAGGGATGGCAAAGAAATACTATACAAACTTTTTTTCCCTCCCTATGGTACTGGAGATTAAATCCAGAACTGCTCTACCACTGAGCCATATCCCCAACCCTTTTTTGCTTTTTATTTTGACATAGTGTCTCAATAGGTTGCTGAGACTGGCCTCAAACTTGCAATGCTCCTGCCTTAGCCTTCTCAGTAGCTAGAATTACAGGACAAACATCCCTTTAGAGGGTCTCTGAATAAAATCAATTTTCTTTCAAGAACTTTACCGTGAAATTGCAATGGACACTCTGACAGCTGAACGAAATCTGGCTAAGCCCTTTGGGCGGCTGATGAACTCCAGATTGGTGAAGGCTGGCTGACCCCGCATCCAGGCAAGGAGCGTTATGGTGGCATCCTCACATTCTTGGAATTCGCCCAATAATTGCAGCAGGTATTTCTTATGATAAATGAGAGCTTTACGAAAACTTTCTGCCCTCAAGTATTTACCATAAGTCCTCTACATTTAAAGAAGGGAAGAACATAAAGTCATTATTAAGAAGTCATTCAAATTGTTCTCTAGGGGATGATTATTACCTAGATTAAAAAAAAAAAAAGCAGTTGTAGGATGGCAGGTACTGTTTTTAGCTTCATCAGCCAAGTTGAAGGTTAATGTAACTTTAACCATTATAACTTTGCCACTTTGTAGTCAATGGTCTGTAAATATTATAGTTATGGTTTTAGTTTGAGTTTTTTAGCCCCTGTTCATGATATTATTGTAAATATTTTTGTCTTCCTATTATCATTTGTGTTTTCTTATGTATAGAGCTATCTTTTTCATCTGAGAATTTTTAAAATTTCATGGAGCTATTTTATTATTGTGGTCACGCATCTATTTAGCTTTTTAAATAAGCCAATTATTCTGTTACTGTATGAGTCATAAATTTATGGTTTATTCCATAATCAGAATAAATATTCCCAATACTTTTCTTTCTCTTTATTTTGGAGTTTACATTAAGTGATTATGGTAGTTTTACTACAATATTAATCTCTACACATTAGAGAGGCTACTCCAAGGGCTTCCCATCTTAGGGCACAATGTTCTTACACTGACAGTAGCAGTATGTTTGTAAGGAATTGAAAAGACAACAGTACTGTTTGCCTATTGAGACAGAAACTGTGGGCGGAAGGACAACCAGCTCTGGGTGTTGACACCGTGATTGAGCTTAACCTGTTACCAGTCCTCCCAGAAGAGGCATGCCTCTTCACAAACCTTCTGTGACATGCTAGAGACCTTGCAATCACAACACACTGAATGGCCTCCGGAGACAACCTGAGCGCCACCCACATTCCTTTAGTCTGTTTGAGTAAGGGCAGAGAGATGAAAAAAGGCAAAAAATGGAGGACTATCGTTAGAAGGACGATGTCACCTACCTTCAGTGAGGTATTTTCAGAATCAGAGTTCAGATTCTGAAGTAAAGTGTCATTTCTCAGTTCAGCTTTCAGTTTATATACTTCAGCTTCCATTTTTTTTAAGGTTTTCTGAAGAGCTGATTTTTCCATGATCCATATTTCTTTTTCAGAAGCGATAATGGCTTCAAGGTTGGCATCACCACAGAATAAAAACCTAGAAGACTGAAGAGACAACAGCCCACTTATATAATTTCCTGCCCTTGTTGGTGGTACCAGGGCTTGAACCCAGAGGCACTCTACCACTTTAATCATGTCCCTAGCCCTTTATATTTTGTTTTGAGACAGGGTCTAAGATGCTGAGGTTGGCCTCAAACTTGTAATCCTCTGGCCTCAGTCTCTGAATTACTAGCATCATAGGTGTGTGCCACAGTGCCCAACTACTTACATAAAGAACATATCTCTGAAGAAAAAGCTGAATTAAAGATATTAAAAGTACCCCTATCATGGATATCTAGTCTTAGTTTCCATCCTCAAAGTCAATCTCAGCTGGTATTAAAAAGTATTTACTCACTCCAAGTATATGGTCATTTTGCTGAGTAGATTAGCTTTACCCCTAAAAGTCCTTGGTGAAAGCCTAGCCACAGAAAAGGTTTATCAGATCTAGCAGAGCTTTTACTAAAAAATGTTGAGAGACTTAAGAGATGGACATGGGGGTCCAAATGTGGAGCCCTTACTAGAGGAATGGAGATAAAAAAGAAAAAAAATAACCCAGTACGAAGAAGGGAAGTGGTTTCCTATGGAAGCCATGAAAAGATGTTATCATCCATTTGACTGCATGCTTGTCTTACCGTTTCTTCCTATTTTTATACTGGGTAATTATAGAAACCAGCAATTTATTCTGTAGGTTTAAAAAAAAAATGGAAATATTTAAATTCTCAGGGTGGTTTATCAAACTGAAATATATAATTTCAAAGCATCTTCCACTTGAGGCATAAACACAGTAAGTGGTAAGTAATGAAGACAACAGTGAGGATTCACATTGAACATTTCTCTACACATGTCTGCTGACAGTCAATACTGTATCTGTCTTTGGAGATTCACAGACGTAGAGTGGATTATGACTTCAGGTCAGTTTTCTCAGAGTCTGGTACAGAGACGGCTCCCTCAACAAAATAATAGCTATTAATATTACAGTCATCCCTATAAAAATTTCCACAGATCCTCCTACACAACTGACCTGATGCTTTTACATTCAGGGTTAAGAACCAAAATTAGATAGCAGAAACTGTAACTTGGCACTACTTCTGAAAATGACGTACATAACCTCCACCAGTTCCTGTCTGTTGACAGCGCCTCAACTGCTCTTCCATTTTCACGACCACATTCCTCAAATTATTCTTTTCTTCAGTCAGTTGGCTGATATATCCTGTCAGTTCAGTATTTTGTCTGAGTAGCCTTTCAGTCAATGAACACCCAGAAGTACCTGGTAATACTAAGGTAGGCTGAAAAAATAAAATGGATGTAAGATCACACAAGCACAAATAGATGTGAAAGTGTGACGAGGCACGGAGAGCAATAGATTTCACAAACTGTTGCTTCGTTAAATCATAGAAATTTAGCAAGCAAGAAAAAAATCTAGTAAACAGAAGGAAAGGCACATATAAAAGCTCAAAGGTTTATGCAAGAGTATATTGCTTTTAGGGAGCTGTAAATTGCTTGGTAAGGCTAGAGAGTAAAAGCTGCTTCACTTATGAATAACAGACATCAATGAGGGCAATGGAGAGTGTTTGTGAGCCATGAAAGGCTTTCAGCAGGAGCTTGCCACAAACAAAGTTCCTTTGGTAGCCATGTGCACAGTAAAGTAAATTAGGGTAGATACAATGTCCAAGTGTTAGGCAAACTCCTCGAGAGACAAAGAGAGAGAGAGAGAGAGAGAGAGAGAGAGAGAGAGAGAGAGAGAGAGAGAAAAGAAGAAGAAGAAGGAGGAGGAGGAGGAGGGGAGGGGAGGGGGGGAGAGAGGGGGGGAGGGGGAAGGGGAGGGGGGGAGAGAAGTTTTTAATATTTATTTTTTTAGTTTTCAGTGGACACAACATCTTTATTTTATTTTTATGTGGTGCTGAGGATTGAACCCAGCGCCCCGCGCATGCCAGGGAAGCGCGTTACCGCTTGAGCCACATCCCCAGCCCTGGGCAAATGGGATGGATATTTAAGGAGGTAGAAGACATAGAACTTAGTGACTGCTTAGATGTACAGGTCAAGGGTGAAGGAAAACAGTGCATGGTGACTTGGGTTTTATACTGGGTGATGCCAATGACCAGAAAGGGGGTCTAGGGCATGAGGGAGAAAGGGAAGATGATGTTCAATTTGGAAGGTGCCTGGGAATTTCCTAAGACACTATGGGGTATATTTCTTCTTCTTTTTTTTAATATTTATTTTTTAGTTGTAGTTGGACACAATACCTTTGTTTTACTATTTTTATGTGGTGCTGAGGATTGAACACAGGGCCTTGCACAGCGCTAGGCGAGTGCTCCTCTACTGAGCCACAACCCCAGCCCTGGGGTATACTTCTTAAAGAAAAGGTGTTAATTATTAAATGAATTTGGAGTCTAGGTCAAAGGTCTATAATGGAGCTACTGTCTACTTGACAATAATCTTCATGAGGGTAAGATTTCTGTCAAATTTGTTCATTGTATCCCTAGGACTTAGTATAGTACATGGCATATAGTAGGTGCTCAATATAAAATATATTATCACTTGCTAAGTCTAGTGAGCACTCAGGCTATGGGAATGATAAAAATATGAATAGATAAAAACATGAAAAATGATAGAAGAGGAACATATGAAAGAAACCGATAAAGAAGCAGATGAAAGAATACTGACATAAAAGGCAAGGAAAGAGAAGGGTTCAAGAAGGTGGAAGACACTGAAAATGTCAAATTCTACAGTCAAGAAAGAAAGGGAGTGAGGAGATTTATCAGATTAGTCACTTGTGAAGACACTGGTAGGATTCTGCAGGTGGTTTTATGGAGTGGTGAGGGTACATCTCAGACTGCTCTTTCAAAAAGCCTGGTCTCTTAAAAAGAGGCCAATGTAACTTGGCAAATGTTATATTTAAAATTTAATAAAAGATCAAAATGCTTATATAGCATATACTGCCAGTTTCAAATGATTCATATATATTTTTTTAAGATGTTGATGGACGTTTATTTTATTCATTCATTTACATGCTGTGCTGAGAATCGAACCCAGTGCCTTACATATGCTAGGCAAGCTCTCTACCCCTGAGCCACAACTTCAGGCCCATAATTCATAATTTCTATTAAATCTTTGCTCTTTATATTTTACAAAGAGTTTTAATTAAAAGTCTTACCTCTTCACCTGGTTGGTGAGTTAATTTCTGTAATTGTAAAGTAATTTCATCAATAGTTTCCTGTGCCCAAATGAAAGCTTCATCATCTGCTGTTTCAAACTGTAGTCTTCAAAGAAAAGACAAAGTCAATACAGACCTCCTCAGGGATGCTTACTAACACAAACACCACAGATTAGGGGACACACTGCTTTGCTTATCACTTGTTCCTTAGGCTAAGTGTTCTCTTTTTCTGGGTTAAGTGTTAAGGTATTTTCAGACACATGGGCTATTTTTAAAGAATGATGTTTCCTAATGTAAATATGCATCATCTTTAAAATTCTAATTCTCTACTCTTGGCTACCTATTCATAAGGGACAGAGTCTACCTAGCCTGTCTAAGAATGCCATTTCTGAAAATAAGACAGAAAAGTCTAACCTATTAGAGGCTTTCTGGGCTAGATGGTGCAGTTTTGAAGCCACAAGTTGAAGCTTTTGTCTGAGCATTTCTATTTCATGGTTATAACCAGTTTCTCCTCCATTCATTTCAAGGTAATTTGATTCTTTTGTCTCTCCTTCTATTTTCTGTTGAAGAACCCAATTCCTTGTTTGATCATTAGTTAAGCTCCAGGTGGTTGACTGGTGATTTTGGATAAAACAAAACAATAATTATAAACATATAGCGTTTCATATTCTTTCTTAAGAGGGAGCACAATTATTGTTTATATTCCAAATAAGGTTTATAGAATTAATTTTGAATAATTTTCACTTAACTATTTAAATACTTTAATCAATATCAAAAGTTTTTGCTCAAGGGGCAAGTAACTTGCTCAAATAACTTAAAATATATTTAAAAAGAAACAAAGTGTCAATTTACCTCATTAAGATTCTGATATAGAATTCGTCTACTTCGTTTTTCTTCTCGTTCTAGTTCTTGTGTCTGGAATTCCAGCATAATTCCCTGCAATCGCTTTCCTTCAAGGTCTAACTTATAAACTTATTGCCTCTTCTCCTCCAGCTGGCGCTGAAGATCTTCAACTTTGGACTGGAGCTCACGCATTTTTTTCTGCCCCTCAGTATTGGCCTCCTGTTCTGTCTGCAACGTCTTCCTGTGAACCTGTCTATCTTTTTCCATTTGCTGTCTCATTTGCAAAGAATCCAGTTTGTATTTTTCAGTTTCATTTAACAACTCTACTATACGACGGTGTTTTTCCTCCAGCTGTTTCTGTAGCTCTATAAGTAGGTCATCTGAGGGTAATGATGACCGAAGCTGCCCACTACTGTCACTGCTATGTAGCTGTGCATGGAACTGCCGTTCCTTATCTAGAATACTACTCATTTCTTGAATACGAATTTTTTCAGACTCAAGAAGTACTTGAAGCTCCAAGTTTCGGCCTTGTACTTCTGATAATTGGGCATCATATAGCATTCTCTGTGATTCTGTTTTCTGCTGTGATTCATTTAGTAGTTGTCTCTGTTCTTCCAAAAATAGGTTTAGTTGAATATTTCTCTGTTTTTGATCCTCAAGTGAAAATTTCAAGTCCTTGTGAGAGAAAAATCAAATAACTTAAAAACTTAAAAATCAAATAACTTCATTAAAAATGTTTTGTAGTGGCTGGGAATGTAGCTCGGTTGTGGAATACTTGCCTTGCATACACAAGGCTCAGGGTTCGATCCCCAGCATCCCCCACTCCCCCCCCCAAAAAAGCTTTGTAAATACATGATTACACCTTTATTAATATTAAATTGGTAGTATTTGGTAACAGAAAATACAACTTTTGTTCAGTTTATTAAATTTTCTCTCATTTGTGGAAGCTAGAGAGACAGGAGGAGAGGGGGCAGGGGGGAAGGAATCTCATGAAAACAGAGAGAAGACCAGTAGAAGAAAGGCATCAAGATGGAGAGAGAAAAGGAGGCCATAGAGAAGTACTGGGGAATGAAATCTAGTCAATTATGCTCTGTTCATGTACATATATAACACAATGAATCTCACTTTTACATGCAATTATAATGTACTAAATAAAAAATAAATAAAAGAAGGCAGACCAGTAGAGGAAGGGACTCAGAGGAGAAGAGGCGGATGAAAGGGGAGCTCCTGGGGAATAAGACTGATCAAATTATGTTATGTTCATGTACAAATGTGGCATAATGAATCTCACTATTGTTGTTACAATGCACCCCTCCTTCCCCCCAAAAAAGCTTGGTAAAATAATAACACTTTTAATCTTAAATATGAATCTTACATAGTTAAATATGAAGCAGGGAACATTTCTCCAAATGTGTTTTTGCTTCACAGTTTCACTATATTAATAGTGTTTTTTTTATTGTTAAGTACTTCTGTATGAATAAGTTTCTGAGAAAGCCTAATGTTCTTTTTTTAGTTTTTTAAAAATATATTTATATATATTTATAGGTGGACACAATACCTTTGTTTTATTTTTTTTATGTGGTGCTGATGATCGAATCCAGTGCCTCACGCATGCTAGGTGAGCACTCTACCACATGAGCCCCAGCCCCAGCTCCAGCCCGCAATGTTCATTTTAAATATTCGTGAAGTGTAACAGAAGGGCTCCTGGTACCAGGAAAGTATTCTTTTTATCCTTCTTTAAGAGGAAACAGGAACCAAAAAACTACTTTAGTATTAAACCGACACAACTGCCCTATTTATCAAAATGTGTTCATATCCCCAAAATATGGTGCAGCAGAGCAATCTGTCTGCTTCCTTGGATGTAACAAAAATTTATCGTACCATTAACATTTCCTCATAATTCAGTTTAGATAACACTACAACAATATTCAACACATACAAGAGTCTAAGGTTGTCATTTTTTAAAAAACATTTTTTTAGTTGTAGAGGGACACAATACCTTTATTTTATTTATTTATTTTTACGTGGTGCTGAGGTTTGAACCCAGTGCCCCACACGTGCTAGGCAAGCGCTCTACCACTGAGCCACAATCCCAGC